GCAGGACCTGCCCAGAGAACTGCAGTCACCTAGGAATCGGACTGAGTTCTGGTTCTGGTTAACCTGGAGCTCTGTCTGAGAAGATGCTTAACAGACACCAAAACTGAGGCACTGCTCCTTCACCTAACCCCAAGGCTGGCACCCTTGAGGTGCATGTCCTCCCACACGCAGCGACATCTTGAGCCCAGGAGCCCAGGTGACCATGGAGCATTTTCACATCTGAATCAAGACAAAGGCCCCTTCCCACAAGCTGCCCTTAGACAGTCCTCCAGGCCTCTGTGACTTCCAGCCAGGACAATATTCTCTGATTACAACTAAAGCCACTTCTGAGGACCACCAGGAGACCTCTGTGAAGACAGAATGTAAAATCCACCTTCTTCTGAGGAAGAGAGTGAGTCAGAACAAGGACTTAACACCTGCTTCACAAGTGACACTTGTTACCTGCCTGTCCCAAAGTCATAAAATGCCACACTGCTCTCTCCAGACATCCTGGCCACATATAAAGAGCAAAGACAGGAATGTCATTGCACTTGGGCAACCAGAGTGATCAGAGAACATATACACGCTTAGATTTTATATCCGCTAACACATTGGAGAGAATCAGAACCTACGGCCTTCTTTTTTACAATTTTTAACAATCCTCCTTTCGGCAGGATCAACAGTGTTTCAAGTTAACATCATAAGTGCCATAATCTTGAAGCAAAACACAAACTGGCATACAAGACTTATGAAAAGTTCCATTATCAGTTGGCAGTTGCCACACCACGGTATCGTCTGGCCCAGGATTCTGTCCCTGCCAGAAACCTTAAGATGTTTCCAGGACAGGCTAACATCATCAACCTGTTAGATCTATCACAGGTAAATCTAAACCAATTTGTAATCTCATGTAAACTTATGTGGGACAGAAAAGGTTCCCCGCCTCTTTTCTTATGAGCTCAGGAACTGCCTCTCGGGCCTCTTCTGAAGCCATCTCTCCACCTTTGAGGGCAGTGTAGTGACCTTAAGAGTTAGAAACAGTCAGTTAAACTTTGGGTAAGTCCCTAACTTTAGGGCAGTCACCTCAAATGAAGTCAGCAGAAACAAAAGCATCTTGTCCTCTCCTGGCCACAGGAGACACCCACTAAACAGCACCGACTGTCATCATGCTGTTGGCTTCTGCACCTTCAGGAAGGGGCGACCGGCTGCTCACTCCACCTCCCTTACAGGGCTGCTGGGGGGAAGCAGGAGACCCTGTTGAAGTGCTGCAAAATCAATTAAAGCATATACCTCTGTGTCGAGTTCCATTAGAATTTTGTTACAGAATACACCTTTCATTAAAAGAAAAAACTTTTAAAACAATTCATGTTAGAATCTGAACCCTGGATCTGTAAGGAGCTTTATGGGTGCACACACCAGTTCCCAGTCCCACTTTGCAGACACGGACCCTGCAGCCCAGAGAAGCTAGGCAACATCTTAATCTTCAAATTCCCAGGTGGGAATTTGACACATTCCTTGTGTGTCTCTCTGTAGAGGCCCCTTGGCCTCTGAACACCTCCCATTTGTGCCTGATGTCTGCATAACTGTGAAAAACAAAGCAGTTTCTGAAGTTTCCTGCTGGATAGCCTGACCACTGGGAGGCCTTTACACAGACATCTTTGGCAAGTTCAAGTCCCTTTTTCCCCTCAGTGCCTTCTCTGGCCTCTCTCTGGTCTGATTACAGAGATGCCCACTTGCTTTGAGCAAGGCCTGCCTTGTGCCATTATTCAACTTGTTATGGGGATGCAGTACCCACTCCACCGTCTGTCAGACCTATCCTCAGATGCCAGACTAACATCCGTGTCCTTCACGGTTCTAGAGAGTTCTGAATTAGAATACTCCAAGACTGAACTTCAGCGCATATAAAAATCACACGGGCTTCATAGGCCCAAGAAGGATTCTAGGGTTCAGGCAGTTTAACCAGCACTTAGCACTCTAAAGCGCCCAATGCTTCTGCTCTAGAGAAAGAAGAAACAAACCATGCTCATGAAGCCCACATTCTGGTCAGGAAAACAAAGCCTGAACTTCCATGAAACGATGAGTGTCCAATATAGACAAGAACCTAATCACCTGCTGAGGAGACTGTGCTTGGGTGGATGGACTCCAATTTCTGGGCAGAAGAAAGACACAGGCCTCAACTCTATCCACCAAGATTAAGCTGGGACAAACGCACACACTGCACTTCAGAGATTTTCAACACCCTGGCTGACATAGCCACAAGGAGAGTAAGGCTTAGATTGTTCTGAAAAAACTGTCAGCTGCTTTTTGAAAAGGAGTGTAGAAGATTTACTTTATTACTGAGTTGGCAGAAATTATTAACTCAGAGGCCTGCTGTTAACAAAAATTCAAATACTCTAGAGGCTCGAATTGAGAACATAGAGACAACTTTCCTCTCAAGAACTCCTTTGTCAAGGAGATGGTCAGTTACTTTGTTACTTTGCTAACTTCTCAGATACTTGTGGATATTAGGTCAGCTGCCTGACACTGATTTTTCAGGCAAAAGCTAAGTTTGTTAACCATAATTGCATGCCCATAAAGGTAAGCATTACATGACACAATTCTCTGTCGCTTCTCTCAGAAGAGGTTTAATTTTAGTGTTGGCTCTTCAACACTGTCCCCATTTTTTTTTCCATGAGCATCTTAAATATGTGTCAACTAACTATCCCAAGGTAGAGTTCACAATTGGGCAAGGTAGAGAAAAGCAGCTGCACGCCAGCAATGCCTTCTTGGAGCTACCTCACTCTGGCCTGAGCCCAGGCAATGCCTTCTTGGAGCTACTGCACTCTCGCCTGAGCCCAGATCAATCCAGAGAAACTGCAGAATTCTGGTCGCACCACCTCCGCCAGTAACCTATTCCGCCATGGCTCCGTTTCCTATATAGGGTTTGCTCCAAGCCACACTCCTGTCAAAAGGTTCTAACGATGCTCACGGATGGTTACTGGTAATGGCGGCATTTAAAGGAGGCACTTTCTTTATCGCTCATATTCAGACACAGTTTCCCAATTCCATCCACCACACTTATATTAGAATTCTATGCACACCCATTAATGATGGAGTTCCCCAAAACAAACCATATGAAATGTGAACCCCATGCCATGAAAACAACCACGGGCTTCTATGAATGTAACATATGTGCACATACTAACATACAAAAACCTGAGATTTGTTTCCTTCTCCCTCTTCTGGCTAACCCCCCTTCCTCCTCTCCTTCCTCTCCCCCTAGGAACCCTTTAGATTACAGCCTTACACAACACTGGAACCCCTGAGGTCACTGCTCCACCTAATCTACAACATCGTGACCGCCTGTCAAAGCGACTCCTGATCCCAAAGCTCTCCTAGGTGGCATTAAGGATCAGTGCTAATATCTCAGCAACCTCTCAGATTCTCCTGAAGGCAAACAAGCATGTGGAATTCAAGAAGTTATACTCTGGACAAAAGATGGAAAAGTCACCAAGGTTACATTTCTCATGTCACTTGTTTTATCCTCTTATATTTCAATCTTGGGAACCGCGTTACTTGGGAACCAGTTACTGCAAAAAATTCGGACAGGTTTTACATAGCTTGTGTCTACTCCATCCCCAAAGTCAAAACAAAAACGTATACATTTGTTAAAAACAATTACCACTAAGTTAATCTTAATGGGGCCTTAAGACTAGGGATAAGAGGATTACTTGTGATACAAAAATCAGTCTTACAAAGACCGTAACTCCTCAATTTCTATCAAAATTATACAAGCCAATGTGAATTACTCCAAAAATACCAAGCTTAAAGCATAGTGCTAAAAGTAATTAGTCAAACTCACATAAGGGAAAACAAAAACCCTACAGTGAGAGAAATCGGAGTTACCTGGCCCAAGACAATTTTTTTCTTCGATCCCAGCATATTAAAAAGTGATCTCAATGGCCACTTCCTGGTCTCCCAACAAATGCAGGGGCTCACTTCATACCTGGATGCCACAACATCTTCCTATTGCTCAACCTGCTCCTGCCACAGGGGAACATGACCCCTACTGCCAACAATCCCTTGGAAAAAATATGAAAACACCATGAGTCTTCCCCTACACACACGAAGGGGGGCAGAGGAGATCCCTCTGCAAACAGTAGCCTCGGTGGAGGGCGATCTGAGAAAGCTACAACCCGGGGTTAACCCTGACCATCTAGGTGACAAACCACCAAGCTGGGACGCTCAGGTAGGGGAAGGGAGAGCCGAAGGAGGGCTCTTGAAGGAACAGGAGACAAAATAATCACCTCTAATTCACACCAAAAAGCGGGGCTCTGGGTTGATCAGAGACGCAATGAGCATTTAGGCCCAGAAAGGTAACAGGAAGCATCCTTCCCTCCCCAAAATCATCTCCCGTCAGCAGCGATCCCAGAAGGGATCCGGCAAAGGCATGTCCACTCCCAGAACCAAGGGGGGACTCTCCACGCGCCCTGGGCACCCGGCTAAGGGCAAAGTAACCGGTGGGGGGGTTCCCTCTAAAGCCAGGAAGGTGCTTCCAGCCGGGAGAAGAGAGAAGGAGGACTTCCCTGATCACCCAGAAGGCCGAGACACAGGCGGCACAGGCTCCCGAGTCATACCCCGGACACCAGTTGCTCCACAGCCTTTCTGCTCCCCTCCCCCCACGCCGGGAGGGCTTCCCGGGGGTCGCGAGTCCACGGGGAAGGGCAAGGCGGGTGAGCTCCGTCAGAAGCAGCAAGGGTCGTAGAGCTGGAGCGAGAAAGAAGGGAAAGCTCTGGCCTCAGCTCCCGTCTGCTCCCTCCGCCCAGGCCGCACGGAAGCCTCGGCCTCACGTACCGAGCGCCACCAGACTGCCCGACCTGCCCCCGGCTCGGGCCCGTGGGGCGAGAGACCGGGATGGCAGCGGCCCTCGGGGGTCGGTGGGCGTCGGGCGGGTTCCCTGGAGCCCGGCGGGAGAGGGGCATTAGGGAGGGGGAGGGTCCCGGGCCCACGCGGCCTCCGTCCCGGCCCGCGCAGCGGGTACTTACGTTGCTCTGGGGGTCGATGGCCTGCAGCAGCCGGTCCCTGATCTGCTGCGGAGACGCCGGAGCCGCTGTCATTGCCTGGGCGAGGCGGGGGGGAGCGGCCGGGCCAGCGGGCGGGCGGGCTGAGGCGGGGGACGGGGGTCACTCACTCGCCGGCCTCCGGGAGCGGAGCCTCATGTTCCCCGCGGCGCCGGGGAAGGAGGGGGCGCGCGGGGTGGCGGAGAGGGGAGCCGGGGCTCGGGCCCGGGGCGCCACCGCCACCAGAGGAGGAGGAGGAGCCACCGGAGCCGCCGCCGCTGCTGCCGCCGCCTCGAGAACCAAACTCCAGTGAGCTGCCCCCGCGCGGAGCACTCTGGGTAACCCGCGCCGCACGCAGCGTCGGCGCCACGCTGAGGAGGTTGGGAGATGGGGCGGGCGGAGACGCCGGGCCTGGGCGGGGCCGCGCGGGAGCCCCGCCCCCGCCCCCCCCACGCATGCGCACGCATGCGCACTGGTCTACCGCCACACCCCGCCCACCGCCCGGCGGAGGGAGCCGTTGGGAGGCGGTTGGGCGGGGCAACGGCCGCCGCCAGGGGCCCCTCCCCCGGCCGGGCCGTGGGGAACTGAGGTTTCCGACGGAAACGCGCTGTGCGCGCCGAGTCCTTGAACCTGGGCGCGCCAGGCGGCCGCCTCAGGGTGGGGGGGCGGCGGGGTGGCGGAAGGTCTCCTTATTGGGGAGAAAAGCCTTCCCCGTACCGACGGAGGTGATGGGAGTCGCGGACGGGGGAAGCTGCCAAGTTTTCCGAGCCGGGGGTCCTCAGCCCCTTGATCGCCGTTCCTGGGGGCGAGGGAGACAAGTCCATGTTGTGATAATGTGCGCGGAAGGGTCATCTCAGGGGCGCCGGAGACCGCTCCACCCTTCCAGAGGGAGGGGTGCAGGGCGGGGGGGTGCAGGGCGGGGGTCTGCAGCGCTTGGCGTGCTGGGATCACGAAAACATGAGACCGCAAAGCGCCTCTCGGGGGAGCCGTCACGCCAGCTTTGGGGAAAGCCCAAAAGCCAGCCCCGTGAGCCCACCGACCCCAGGGTTGCAAACCTGTGTCAACGCCAGGGTTTCTCATCCTGGGCGCCAATGACATTTGGGGCTGGATCACTGTTGCAGGGGCTGTCTTGCGCATTTTAGGATATTCAGCATCCTGGGTCTCTACCCACTAAACGCCAGTAGCACTTTCCCCTCCAGTCAGGTCAACCAAAAATGCCCAGTCATTTCCAGATGTCTCCTGTCGGGCAGAACGTCCCCTGTTGAGAACCACTGGTTTAAAAGACCCACCCTGCTTTGCGTGGAGGTGCTGGAAAACTGAAACCCTCATTCTCTGAACAAAACCTTTCACAAAAGGAGGGAATTGAGGCCCAAGGTCACCCAGAGTTCTAGGTCAAACCCATAATTGTTAAATGTCAAGCCTAAGGAGCCTCCTTCCCCACCCCCACCTTACTGCCCTCTTCTACTGCTCTCTGCTCCCTCTGGAAGCCCTGTTAGGAATACTGTTATGAGAAGGGGTGAGAAGGCAGGCTGAGTGGATTATTAGCTGCAGCCTCCGGAGAAATCTAGGAAGACCTAGATTTAAAACAGGAGGGAGGCAGCTGATGAGAACCACACGCGCGCCTGGGATCTGTGCTACACCTGTTAGTCTTGCATTTGTCATGCTTCTGGGAAGCATTTTTATTTGCAAAAACGGCTGTTTCTGCACGTGGTTGTGGCTGCTTCCTTCTGGACATGTGAAAAGTTTTACATCACACTTGTAGGAGAAAATAAACATGGGCAAAATACTTCTCTTTAATTTACTCACTCACTCTCCTAGAATGAGGTGCTTTGTGTACATGGTCCAGGTTGGAAACCAGCCCATTTGGAGATACTCTTTATCTCACTTTAGATAAGCAAAATAAACAGGCTCTCCCCCAAGCATATTCTGGTCCTGCCTTTCTTTTAATTTCTAACTCAGATGTTCAAGATCTTATTTTTTTAATCAAGGATCACATAGAAGCAATTTGTTTTGCATGGGTCAGGTTAAGATTTGGAAAGCACTCAACTTACCTGCTCTTTTTAAACTAAGAAGCAACATTAAGATGACTGAGTTCTGCATGGCCAGCTGTATACACATACCCAGACATAGGTATGCAGTTCAGCTCCATAGATGTGGCACAAAGTGGGGCTCCATAAATATTTAACAAATGAGTATTAAATATACTGTATAGACATTAGGATGCACATAGACACAGATGCATATATCTATCTCTCTCTATAGAGAGAGATAGATAAATATATCTAACACTGTGTCTACATGTGTGCCCTGAGAGTGTGGGCACTAGAACATAGCTTTATTCCACATTTAACATATATATATGTAGTGGTAAAAATTAAATCAGATCGGCATTCAGTGGGAGTCTTGAAAACGTTAGCTTCTCTTAGATCCAGGATAAATAACTGCAGTTCACCTGGCAAGACCTTCTGCTTCAAGGAAGAGATACTTGAAATGGCACCTATCAGTCATACAAAGGTGGGGCTCAAGGTAAATCCTCTTGTTGTAATGGTTCTTCCCCAGCAACGTGCCTAGGTCCAGGGAACATCCACCCCCCCATCCTGAAAGGACAAGATATTTTGTCCCTGAAAAGGCTGTCTTACCTCCTAGTGAGGTGGCCCCCCCAAAAGGTAAGAGGCTCTGAGTCCATGACTTGGCTCTTGCCATGGAAGTGGCAGGAAGGTAGTTTTAGGAGCCTGAGTGCAGAGCATCCTCAGCAGGCTTGGCAGTGAGGGTGTGGGCTCGTTCTCCCTCAATGAACTGCAGTGGCTCAAGCCCAACAGGCAAGGGCATCACAGAAGGAAGCTGTGAGCAGGCCAGCTCCCACAACTGCTTAGGACCAGTCTTCAACAGCGACACCACATGGTGGCAAGGAGCAACAGCAGGGACCCACCAGGCCGACTCATTCAGAAAGTGAAAGGCAGCTGTGACCCCTTGACACCTACACCCCTGGGAGTTGGGCAATTCAAAGGCGAGAAAGTGACTGGACATACCCCAGTAAAGTATGTGAGGGCTTCGATGACTAATAGGAAAAATGAACGCGAGCAAACCACCACCCCACTTTGACCGATTTGTTTGCTCTGAATTTAACATCTGGTGGGAATTTCTTAAAAACACTCTCATATATTAACTCATTCAACCCTATTGATCATCTCAGATGTACCCAGAAATGAGTTTCAGAGTTCCGCTTGGCTCTGCAGCAAGTCCTATTTATTCTAAAAGCGAAAAAAATTTCAATTGGTTTTGAATAGCCCCTGAAACGTCACTGCTTTTAGGAAGGGCTCCAAAGACAGACAAGAGAACTCAAAATAATTTTACTGTGTCTTCAAGTAGGGGGATACAAAGGCACATTAAAAGGAACAAAGCCTGCTCCTGAGGATCTAGTTCTGAAGTTTCCAAGCACTGGAAACAGGTTGGGAGCCCAGTAAGACGCTGCTGTAAACTGTATTGTCCAAGCAGTGCAGGGGCACCAAGGAGGGCAAAGCCACTCTGGAGCCAGGAGTACCAAGAAAGATCTTTGACAGCATTTCCATATGTTCATACCCTTTGCCCCAGTATTTCCCAACTTCTAGAAATTTATCCAAAGAAAGCAATCAGATGCAGACAAACGTGTACATACGGGGCAGCAGACAGCAGCATCATTTATAAGGGCAAACGATTGGAAGCAACCCAAGTGTTCAGGAAAAGGAAAGTATATAAATAAATTAGGGAGTCGATTTGTGCAAACGGGAAGGTTATGGACCAGAAGGGACCACGGGATTCTGTAATTCCACCTGGGTAGTGGTCTTGTCTTATGGGTCTACACAACATGTAGAAATTCACAAAGCTGGACATTATGCTTCAGAAATACATAAATAAAAGGATCTAGATATAGACAGACAGATGATAATCTTAACCATTGAAATCAGTATTGAACAACACAGAATGCTCCCAATTTCATATTAAATGTTAAAATGCAGTATATAAACCATATACATTATGATCTTAATTTTGGTTTTATAAAAATATGTCTACTTAATGCACCTGATGCACAGAAAAAATACTGGAAGGAAAGCAGCCAAAATATTTACAGTAGTTATCACTGACAGGCAGGATAACAGGTGATTTTTCTTCTGACAGTCGTCCCTGAAGTTCCGCATTTGCTAGAATGAACACATGGCGCTGCCTCCTCTTCTCATCCAGTGCTGGGGTTATTCTGACCTCTAGTAGCCTCTAGTTGTCATCTTCTGACTTGGATACTGCTAATGTGAAGCGTGCCCATAATCTCCAAAATCCTGAACAGGGATTTGCTATCAGGCCTACTGATGGATGTCCATCTAAGTCCTAACAGTCTGTGTTTTACCTACTGCCCCAGTTTTGTATTATTCTTAGTAATAAAGAGAGTAACATTTATTGAGTACCTACTACGTGTCAGATTGCATGCTGAGGGCTTTACCTGAGGACCCAGATGAACCCCTCTGGGCAGGGCGGTCAGGCCCTTGTCAGCCTCTCCTCTTGACTCGGCGGGTAGGGGGGGTGGCTACAATTTGCTTTAGAGAATGCAGTGGAACCATGCTCCGCCTGGTCCAGATTGAAGCTTCAAGAAGGCCTAGCCGTTACCACCCAACTCAGCAAATCCACTCCTATCAATCTCGCCAAGAAAAGTGAACACCTACACTCAGAGACTTGTACAGGTAAATGTCCACAGCAGGACTATTAATAGGTGCAAGGTACAAACACCAGATGTCCATCAACTGGTGCACAGATGAATGAAATGTACATCCACAGGCTGGAATAGTATTCAGCCATAAGGAATGAGAAGAAATGAAAGAGAAAGAGCAGCAGCCTGGCAACATCCACCTTTAAAGACCTGGGGGCAGGGAGTTACCACGTCAGAATCTAGTGACTGTGCTGTAGGGCCACTCAGAAAGAGGTGGTGGCCCCACGCCTCTGTGAAGGAGAACAAGGTTCCCGGCGACAGAGAACGCGGAGCCCCATATGCCTAACCCCAGCAGGCTGCAACGCCCTGGGTGAGGTGCCAGGCATGAGAGCTGAGAAGCCCTTAGGGCTCAGAGCCAGCCCCACTTTGCCCCATCCAATTTCCTGCCCACAGAACTGTGACTCAATAATAGAGGTTTTAAGACACTTAGTACTGGGGTCATTTGTTACTCAGTGCTAGCTAACAGAGACGCAGTTGCTAACATAATCCTCAAGTGACACACGAGGAAGACCCCGAGGTCAGACAGTGAGGAGACACACACGGCC